CGAAATAAGAACTTACACATAAACTTACTTCTCTTTCGACGTTTAACAAGGTTATGGCGCCTTGTGCACCTAACCGGAGATTCATTTTCTCCAGACAAGATTTTGAAGTTGCATGTTGTCCCTCCAATTATCCCCAAGATCATAATAGCTTAGGAATTCCGAGAGAAACTATGTAGAGAATTATCAATGTAACATGATGTGACTCATAACATAGTTAACGATATAACTCAAGTAATGAGATAAAACTATTTACTGCACATATGATGCCTAACAAGGCTATGACATTTTTCGGCACATAATTAAAGATTTGTTTGACTTAGAAAAAATCCCGAATGCGCATGCTCATGTTACCCCCAACTGTCCCCCAGTTAGGCGCCCAGTGGTACACTGGACGACTAACTAAAGTCCTCACAGTGGTCAAATTTCATGTAAGATCCTTTAGTGTTTTGTCCCCCAGTTCATGTCTCCCATTACCGTATTAGTTACACAAAGAAAGGATCACAAATATTCTAAATGATGCGACATAATTTCATTCATACCATAACTAAGAATATAACTTGAGTAGAGATAGAAAAGACTTAGCTTATTTCTTGAGACTTCTCTTTAGTGGTTAGAATTGGGGCGTTTGATTAGTAAGTCCTTGGCGCTCGGATAAGCCAATCATGGTGGATCTTAATTCCACTGTCGAGTTGGTCTGACAACACTAGCACTCCTTGCATAAAATCATATCACAAAGCCTTATCCTCTGGAGTATTCCCTTGTAGCCTTGCCGATGTTTTTACTTTCCCGCCCCAAATACTTGGGCGCCTTCAGTGGGCGTGATATTTTTCCCAACATGATGCCATGTTGCCATTTGTACCTTTCATTATTTAGGGGCCTTACGAGTATCACAGACGCCAAATTTAGTCACATAGTGTACTTTCAATCAATGGCATAAAATTTGGACGGAGATTATATCCAACAAAAGGCGCTAGGTTTGGGCGCGGAATGTATTACTAACCAGGGGCGCTAAATGTGGGCGCGGAGAGTATTACCAACCAAGGCGCTAGATTCGGGCGCGGCGAGTATTACCAACCAAGGGCGCTAATTTTGGACGCGTATTGTATTTCCAACGAAAGGCGCTAAATTTGAGTGCGACGAGTACTTCGCAAAAACCAAAATATCTGGTGCAAGTAAAATTAAATTTCACAAAGAACAAAAATCGAGTACTTAGCTTTGAAGTGTGCTCTGAAGCCCATGCAAGCAATTCTTATAAAAGATAGGCGCTCACTTTAAATTCACAGGTGCAAGCATGTCGTCAAGTTGTTGAAGCATATCCGTTCCTCTCAATAGCAAGTGCCCACAACAATGTGTCAAGGCGCACAGATGACTTTACAAACGCGAACAGTTTCCTTACATATTGGTCTTGTGTCTTGATGGCCACCGTACCCGACTTTAAATGATGAGGTCGTGTGTTCGACGCCCGTCTTGTGTGTCTTTTTTTTTAAAATAAGATAAGCGCCTGGGCCTTCAAACATTTGGGCCTTCGGTTGAAAATAGATGAGACACCCATTTCCAGACGTGTGGGCCTTCAAATGACGAAGGTAGAGAGGAGGCGTCTTCAATTGTGCAAGCTGGCACGTTTGTAATAAGGCGCCTAAAGAAGGGCTGGCTATTTGGACCGGGACCGGATGAAAAACCGGAAACCGGACCGTATAACCCGGACCGAGACCGGACCGGGACCGGATAGTAAACAATCCAATCCAATCTTTGGGCTTAGATTTGAGGTAAAAAACCGGATAAAGACCGGATAAGAGAGCTTAACACCCAAAACTTAAGGGTAATTTGCATAAACGGTCACAAACCTTTGCACTTAGTACAAAACTTAACCAACTCCTCACCCTTTTAGGCTTAGGCCACTCAAATTCCCACAATCTCAATATAAAATCAAGACCGAATTGGGACCGGACCGGGTCAAGACCGGACCGGATCAAGACCGGACTGTATCCAATCCAATCTTTGGTCCTTATATTTTCAAAAAAACCGGACTGGACCGGATCAATTTGGGCCAATTTAACCGGACCGGACCGTATAGCCACCCCTATAAAGAATACACATAGTAGTCGAAGGCGCATGAATTTCCAAAATTCAGCTTTAGCATAGTGGTCTCAGACCCGACTTTAAATGATGAGGTCATGTGTTCGACGCCCATCTTGTGTGTCTTTTTTTTTTCTAAATAAGATAAGCGCCTGGGCCTTCAAACATTTGGGCCTTCAGTTGAAAATAGATGAGACACCCATTTCCAGACGTGTGGGCCTTCAAATGACGAAGGTAGAGAGGAGGCGCCTTCAATTGTGCAAGCTGGCCCGTTTGTAATAAGGCGCCTAAAGAATTGACATAGTAGTTGAAGGCGCATGAATTTCCAAAATTCAGCTGTAGCATAGTGGTCTCAGACCCGACTTTAAATGATGAGGTTGTGTGTTCGATGCCCATCTTGCGTGTCTCTTTTTTTTTCTTTCTAAATAAGATAAGCGTCTGGGCCTTCAAACATTTGGGCTAGAGAGGAGGCGCCTTCAATTGTGCAAGCTGGCCCGTTTGTAATAAGGCGCCTAAAGAACACACAGAGAAGTTGAAGGCGCATGAATTTCCAAAATTCAGCTGTAGCATAATGGTGTCAGACGCCTCAATTCAGGCTTTGGAGCGCGTGCCTGGGTTCGATTCCCGTGTGAATCCACTTCTTTTTCCGGCTTTTGACTGTGCGTTCCATTGTATCCTGGGCTTTCACGATCTGGCCATCTGGGTTTGCCCCTTAAGTCTGTGAATGGATATGGGCCAGGCGCCTCCTTTTCCCCTGGGCTTTCAACCTGGGTTTGCCCATTAAATCTGTGAATGGACATGGGTCAGGCGCCTCTTTTTCCCCATCATAAAATTATTGTATCTTTATTCTTTCCCATCCCACGAATATGCTCCTCTCTTCTTTTTTTAGGCCGCCTCCTTTTCCCCTGGGCTCCTCTCTATTCTTTCCCATATTTCCCTTTGACAGGGACGCCCCATTTCAGTATTAAGCATCTCATTTTTCCTTCATCCTTTTCGACCCCTTCGAGATGGTAGTGATGATAAATCAAGGCGCCATTATCTCTTTTCGACCCCTACCTGGCGCGCCAATTGTTTCAGCCAAGAAACAAGGGAGCTCCCGATCTGTGAAAGGGCGGGGGTGGCCCCCTTTATCTACACTCCAACGATCAACATTAGTATAGTGATAGAGAAACATGGAGAACATGTATAGAGAGAGATAGTGTAGAGAGAGAAGTGATATGCCAAAGTGTCCAGAGGAGAAGAAGAGATCCCTCACTTGGAGTGCTTGGTATTGTATTTATAGGCCAAGCTTGCCTTCTTCATGTAGGCTTTAATTGTAGGATCATGAGGATACTTTGTGGGTTTGGGCCCATACATACTTGATGGATTGTAGTTGTGGTTTGGGCTGGGCTAAGCCTTGTTTAATGGCCCAACAATTATTTTGTCATACAGTGATAAACTGATAATCACGTCCTCCATAGTTTGGCGTAGGGACTTATTTTAGAATTTTTTTTAATGATAATACGAGTCAATATAAAACATAAATTAATTTTGATGAACCTAGTTTAAATGAAATCCTCCCTACGCCTGATCTTGGTAATAAATAAAAAATTGAAGAATATTTAAAAAAAATTATATGAAATTTACTCTATCTTATATCAATTTTTGAAACGACAACTCACTTGAAAATATTAGTGAATTATACTTTTTAATTATTTTATGTTTTTAGATAAACAATATTAGACCAACCTACACTATAAAAAATTAACATTATTAGCCATTCTTCTCAAACAATCCTATACATGTGCATTCTCTTTTTTTTCTTCCAAATCTGTATTGTCAACAATCTAAAAATTCTAACTCTTCGAATTGTTGAAAATAGATTTTAAAATGTTTATTGTTGAAAATAGACCAACCTACACTATTAAAAATTAACTCTATAGATTGGTAGAAATTATTATTATTATTATTATTTAGGTATTTATATTAATTATTGGGATATTCTTACTCTTTATGTCTGGGATCGATATTATTAATTATGTCTTGTCTATGAGAATTTGTTCTTTACTTATTGGTTTAGAATTTGCTTACCTTGTCTAAAGGGAAAATGGTTTGAGAGATTGGTCCTATAAATATGTATCTTTGCTATATGTTTTTATTAACGAATGAGAAGTCAAGTATTAGTATTAATTTAGCAGTAGATTTATCGTGTTTCCTTAGTTTTCGTAGTTGATTTATCTTCGAGTTTGAGACATCGGATGTGTGAAATTGAGAACACGCCATGAATATTATCCGAAGCGCAATAGCGTGGAACATGACAATGTGTACGTACTAATCGCGACATGTCCCTCTCTATAGTCACCCTGCCCATTGGCCATTACCATCACTAATTCTGTAATTCTGTGTAACGTGAGACTTGTCCTATAAGCACTCCGAAGCTTAAATCCCTCAAGGAACAAGTGTGGATCATGATCAGTTCACTTTAAAATAAATTTGACAGGAAGCAAGGAATGTTTTCATTCTTGTCCCCAATGATCAAGTTTTCTGAACGTACGATATTCTCCAGTTTGCGTTTCAGCTACCAGTGTTCTTATTTCATGTTAATTAGTCCTCAAACTTTCTTGTTTCTCTTATATTAGTCATCACGGTGCAAATCAAACTCAACTTAAAGTAGTGATCAACTTATAACTGCTGAATGCAAATCACTTCAAGTGCAATAACGAAAACCTATGAGGAAGGTCACATTAGAAAAGAATATATCGCATGCACCGCATTTAATTTGCCTTGAGATATGCACCAGAATCTGATTCGACCAGCTCAATTTGCTTGGAAACCAAGCGACCGAGAGCTCGCTTTTTGCAACCAAAAGAAGAAGAAAAGGTGACGAGCAAGCACAGGCTTGTTATATTATAAGGTTCAACCGTTCCTCTTAGCATCTGAACCGCCCGTCATTAAAAAATCACCCGGGAACGCTTCTCCTAGCTAGCTTCGCGCGAAGGATTTCTCGTCACTAAAAATACCATTCAGAGTACGACTTCCTTGTCTTCTCTTATATATATATATATATATATATATATATATATATATATAGTTGCTGAATTCTGTTTAATCTTAACTGAGTCATTTTACATGAACCGTCTAGTCTACATGTATATGCGGTTAACCTATTCATGCATTTTGATGTGACCATTTATCAGCTCTTTAACGACGGTCAACTTTTAGCGACGGTCGGCTGCTAATCGATTATCTCATTTTAACTAAGCTGTTGCAGTTCTCAGGTCTTCCAAAATCCATTTTTCAGATATATATGAATTTTGAATTTTCCTTTTTGTATATAATTTGACTATGTTCATGCACATTAGTGATTAATGAGCGGTTTATCATCACCTTGATGATAATTACATGGACTAACCTAATTAAGTTTATTCTATGAACGTGAAAGCTGTGGTGATTAATGAGGAGTTACAGTATAATACAAGGAGCAGTGCTGGTGCTTCCATTGATTCTCCTCTACAAGCTGTGGTCTGGAAGGAGAATTTCTTCCAACGATGAAACTAACAATGGCGGCATGGCCGCATTTCCTGCTGCATCCGACGACTTTCCAGGTTCTTCTAATTCACTGCCCCTTCACTCGGCGGAGTTCGACTCTAACGATTCTTCGGTCCTTCCTTCTGTGGAGTACGAGGTGTTTTTGAGCTTTAGAGGTCCAGACACTCGTCATCAGATTACCGATACTCTATTTCGTTTCCTTGTTCACTTGAAAATCCACACGTTTAAGGACGACGATGAGCTTCGCAAGGGGGAAGGAATATGGCCTTCCCTTGTTAAGGCTATTGGCCAGTCCAAAATTTATGTTCCGATATTATCAAAGAGTTACGCTCATAGCAAATGGTGTCTTAAGGAGCTTGTCGAGATTGTTGAAAATATGAGACAGGACAAAAGGCGCATCATACTTCCGATTTTCTACATGGTTGACCCGAGAGATGTACGACGTCAATCTGGACCTTATCAAGATGCGTTTCGAGAACACGAGAAGAACTTCGATCAAATGACCATACAAAATTGGAGAGCGGCTCTAAACATGGTTGGAACATTGAAAGGATGGCACGTCAAGGATACTGACGGGTATGTAACTTCCATTTGCATACCATAGCTTTTAATATCACATTAATTATTATTTTCTTAGATAATGAAGATTAAACTGCAAACCAAAAGGACGTACGGAGGTACAATATAACATTAATTATTTGATTCATTTTTTTTTATTTGGGTGTTTGATTTCTTATAGTTTTTCTTTTCGAGAAATCGTGCTTCCTCATTTGAGAAACAGGCGAAATTATTTAAAGTTTAAGGACTTTTTATATAAATTTGTATAAGAGTTTGAAGCAATGTTATTAAAATCAAACCAAGTCGGCCGGACGAGAGGTGATTTAAGGAAGCTAAAACTAAGGACTTTTCATATAAATTTGTGTATTTTCATTAAATACTCATATGAGCTTCCTCATTTTTTAATTAGGGTTATAGGTATAATATGCTCCTCTATTATGACATTTTATCAAACATGCATCTCTACTATTTTTTACATCAAACACCTGTACTTTGAAAAAGTTATCAAACATGCCATTTTGTTTAAATTTCCATTGAAAAAATCGTCAATCATGGTTGAACTGAGATTTAGACGACCCGACATCGGCAAATGGGAGTGAAAATGTCAGTTTCGTCTCCCGTTTTATTTCTCTGGTTCTCTTCAAAGTGAATTTATTTGAATTATTTGGCTATACAAAAGAGCAAAAAAAAATTCTAAAGTGAAATTATTAGGGATATTTTAAACATTTGTACCGCCCAAACAAAAGTTCGACCATGGTTAATGGTTTTTAGAAGAAAATTTAAACAAAAGGGCATGTTTAATCATTTTTACAAAGTACAGGGACATGTTTGATGTAAAAAATAGCAAAAGGGCATGTTTGATAAAACGTCATAATAGAAGGGCATATTATACCTATAACCCTTTTAATTATCATAAGTTTAGTCATCAATCACCTTCCAATCGTTCCAATATTAATGAACTCATTGTTGTCAGGGGTTGGTGATAATTTAACTTTAACAGTACTCACTGTGGACAAATTATTTTATTGATTTTTTGGCAACCTTTTCGATTTACAGGCAAAGTAAATATGCAGATCTTATTTCAGATAGTATATGGTCACACCTACGAAGGTTTTATTACACAGTAGAAACAGGTGATTTGGTTGCCATTGATGGCCACATAGAAGAGGTAGTGAAAAGACTAAGTTTAGACTCTAAAGACGTGACAATGGTTGGACTTTATGGCATTGGTGGGATTGGCAAGACCACTCTTGCAAAAGCTGTCTACAACAAAATATTACACCGCTTTGATCGTTGTAGTTTCGTCGAAAATATACGAGAAACACAACAACAAAATGATGGTATTTTGAAAATACAAAAGAAGATCATAGAAGATGTTTTGAGAAAGGAGGAGTCTGTTGTTGATGTTAGTAAAGGAAGGAGAATTATAACAGATAGAGTTTCTCAATTCAAAGTCCTTATCGTTCTTGATGATGTTGATGAAAAGTTTAAATTGGACGAAATCTTGGGGAACCCTCTGGGCTTTGTTTCAGGAAGTAGATTCATCGTGACTTCAAGAAACTGCAAACTTTTAAGTACATTGAATGAAGACAGATGCAAATTGTATGAGGTTCAAGCACTGAGTCCTTCCCACTCGCTTCAACTCTTCAGCAAGCACGCATTCAAGAAGGATTCTCCCCCACCAGAATATGAAATGTTATCGAACGACATTGTATCCACCATGGGTGGACTTCCACTGACTCTCGAGGTTGTAGGATCGCTTTTGCACCGAGAAGAAAAACCGATTTGGGAGGCAAAATTGAAGCAGTTAAGGGAAGTACCGGAGAGAGATGTCTTAGAAAGACTAAAAATAAGTTATGATGCATTGGAATATGAGGCAAAAGAGATATTTCTGGATATCGCTTGTCTCTATATTGGAAAAAAGAAGGAAAAGCCTTTTTACTTGTGGAATGATGGCAACTTCAACCCAATCATTAATATTAATCTTCTTATTCAGAGGTCGATGGTTAAAATTGATAAGGATGATTTTCGATTTCAAATGCATGATCAATTGAGAGATATGGGCAGAGAAATCGTCCGCAGAGAAAATATCGAATATCCATGGATGAGGAGTAGAATATTTACGAACGAAACAGCTAAGGAGTTATTACTTGAAAAGAAGGTATCATTTCCAACATATTTTAGTTTTATATATCGTTATAAAAATATTTCATATGCATGATGAATCTATATGTACAATGCATATGTACTTCAAATCTAAATTGCTAAGTGGTTTATATAAAAGGCCAAATGTAAACATGTATATAATACAAATACAAATCCTTATACGTGGTACTCGTATACATATTTTACATGTTGAAAACTTTCATTCCTTAATATTATGATGACGTCTCATTTTCCCGTCATTTATTTGATGTTTTCGTCATTAACTGACATGATTACGGTACATAACTAACCCCTTGTATCATATTTCACTAATAATTAACGAGATGTACTCTTCAATCCATTCATTAATCTACAGGGAACAGAACAAGTTAAAGCCATTAAGGTAAAATCAGAGGCATGGGAGCATCTTCAGTTGGGAAGTGAATATTTTGTGAACTTATCAAGGTTGAGATATTTCAAAGCAAATAATATAAAGTTGAAGGGAGACTTTGATAATCTTCTTCCCAATTTAAAATGGCTTGCATTGAGACACCATGAAAGTTCGGAGGGTGATGATCATCTCATCAATTTACATATGAAAAATCTGATTATTCTCGATCTCCGTGAAAGCGAGGTCAGCAACGAATGGGGAGGCTGGACTCATTTGAAGGTAATTATATTATAAATTACTTATTTGATGACTACGTATTTTACACATGCATATATATTTCATGTTCATAAAGCACGATTTTAATGTACATCCCTATTTTTTGGCCTACACATGCATCAATCCTCGACGTTAGATTTCTGGTTGTCGATATTTACATTTTTTTTTTTGTTATAAACGCGCTGCTACAAATCGGGAAAACGCCGGAATCGATAAATCAAGAATACGAAAGCGAGAATCGAAAACACAGACACACGATTTACGTGGTTCACTAACACGATGTGTGTTAGCTAGTCCACGGGCGAGAGAGAGCCAGTTTCACTATATCGAGGAGATTACATATTACAGAGGAGTATGAGAAGTATTTATAGTACTTCTCCATGTGGGTCTAAACCTAATCCAGTCGTAGCGGCTGATAGTACGATTCAAGTCACATCAACATTTTTATATACAACCTATCGTTATTTCGTTAATATTGTATTTGTTTGATCTTAACATATCTAGCTAATTAACTTAATTGATTGCAGATGGCGAACAAGCTGAAAATTTTGAATCTATCCTCGTGTCTTGCACTGACAAGACTTCCCAAGCTACCAGAATCTGGAAGTCTAGAGGTGTTAGATCTAAGTTTGTTCAATCGGGACCAGTCAACGTGGGAAGATGAGCTGGATATTGGCAAGCTGAAGAACCTAAAGGCGCTCCGATTTCCCTTTGCTTGTATAAAAAAGATAACCGGCGGAACCATTGGAACGGTCATGAAGGGTCTTCGAGAGCTCGATGTCGAAATGTGCCAGTGCGAGAACCTGGTACATTTTCTTGTCGATGTCGAGGAATTGCAGTCCCTTCGAATCTTGCGAACGAGCTCAGCTACTAGGATGCAAGGAACTCACCAACAGTTGCTGACGACGAAGCCCAGCTCGAGTCATTTGAAGGTGCTAACCACTTCGTGTCCGATCGTCGATCTCTCGCAGCTGATGGAACTGGAAGAGTTAGGCGTCGAGTACTGTGATTACGGGCTCGAGATCCCGGCTTCAGCAGCAGGCGGCCACAGCGAGCCGTGGTGGAAGACATCCAAGTTGAAGACTCTGCGGCTCTACGGAGCTTCCAGAATGTGGTGCAGTAGTAGTGGTAACAACAATCCTAGTAGCAACTGCAGACTTCCATCAGCTCTAACCAAGCTCTACATTGGATTCTGCTTCGAACTGGAGTGGGTGCCGAGTCTCGAGAACCTCGAGAATCTGGTCGAGTTAATCCTCGACACCTGTCCCATGCCCCGGGAGATTCAAGGGCTTGGTGGCCTGAAATCGCTACAAACTCTCCGAATATTCAATGTTGGCAATTTACGCCATCTTGATGGCCTGACTAGTGACGACCATCCGTCGTCTCTGACTTTTTTTCGACTGGAATGTTGTGGCGCGTTGGAGAGGCTGCCTAGCTTCAGCCATCTCAGGGAAGTGTTCACCTTACACGTTATTGAATGCCCACGTCTCACTGACATCCCGTCGTTGGGATGTTTGTTATCTTGTACTAACAAGTTGCAGGAGCTGTACATACAAGACTGCCCTCGTCTTGCAGCCTTATCATTAACCACATCATCAGTAGCCACCGAGTCGTCATCTTCCTTACAACGCCTGGTCATAACCGGTTGCACATCCCTGCTGCAGGAAGGAAAACGACCAGTTCAGATCCCCCATTTGTCCAAATTCCCCAAGCTTACGATCTTGTACCTTGAAGACATGAGACTCAATATTGGTGAGCAGCATGTGGCCCTGGAAGGGCTCGAGTGTTTGACCGAGCTGGTTCAGTTGAGGCTGGGGAACTTGCAGCCAGCGGTAGAGAGACTGCCGTCATTTTCAAACCTAGGGAAGTTGCATAGTTTGGAAATCGCGGATATGCCAAGCTTGAGGGAGATTGAGGGCTTTGGCAGCCTCAGGTCTCTGGCCATATTACAGCTGACGGATTGCACGTCGTTGGAAAGGATTGATTTGTCCGGTTTGGTGGCTTTGGAGGTACTTAATATCAGTCGATGCCCGAAATTACAGACGGCGGTGTCTTCGCTCCCAAATATGGAGAAGTTGGGTAGTTTGGAGATCACGGACATGCCTGGTTTGAGGGAGATCGAGGGCCTCGCAAATTTGAAGTCTTTGCAAAGACTGGATTTGAGAGGATGCACATCACTAGAAAGGTTACCTCTTTTGGAGCAGCTCACGGAGTTGGGTATGGTAAATGTTGAAGGATGCACCAACTTGGCTGATCGTTCTGCTATCATCGGTAAGTTACCAGCTGGAGCGATGATATATCAGTAGGTGCCCAGCTGCATGTGGAAGTCTACCAGCCTTATTCCATAGCAGTGCCTTGACCAACCCCGGGTCCAATAGCAGCAAGCCCAACACCCAAGCCAGCAGCAATAACAGAAGCGGCAGAAATCAATGGATTCATGATACGTTCCTCGTACCAAAAGAAAGAAATAGTTAATGATACAATCAATTAAAAATTTTATGGCTTAATTATTCCATGATCAAAAAGATTTTCACGGAGCCGGAGTAAACAAGAACTCTGAATTGAAGCGATGATACTATTAAATCAATGATCTATTTGAAGCATGCCAATTAATTTCATTTCACTTGTTTAGCTAATTTTATTGCACACAACTAACAACTCAGATTTCTGTGTCAAGTTTATTTTGTCTATGCAAATCAATTCTAGGAGTGGTTTATGGACCTCTTGCTAAACCTCAATAAGAGTATGGGCCGGTATTCAATGTAGTTTGTTCCATAATTTGATTAAAAAAAATGAAGCACTCTCATTCGAATTTTGCTAGCATAGATTTGAACCTTATAATTAATCTTAATTTGTCCAAAGAAGTCAATCGTGTAATGATTACATTCATAAGTGTTTTCCCCCACAGGGAAACATAAATTATCCCTTTAATGAATAGTAATTTTTGGCTTAGGTTCAATACATACCTCATCTTATAAATAGGAGGGTGGCTATATGGTCCGATACGGTTAAATTGGCCCAAATTGATCTGGTCTCAGTCCGGTCTTTTCGAAAATATAAGGACCAAGATTGGATTGGATACAGTCCGGTCTTGACCCGGTCCTGAAAGTGTGAGTAGTTGGTTAAGTTTTGTACTAAGTGCAAAGGTTTGTGACCGTTTATGCAAATTACCCTTAAGATTTGGGTGTTGAGCTCTCTTATCCTGTCTTTATCAGTTTTTGATCCGGTCCCAAACGGTTTTTTACCTCAAATCTAAGCCCAAAACTTGGATTGGATTGTTTACTGTCCGGTCTTGGTACGGGTTATACGATCCGGTTTCGAATAAAACCAAAAAACCCTGACCAAATAGCCAGCCCTACTTATAAGATTGTAGTTATATCTTACTTTTTTACTTGTTTTTAGTTATAATTAAATTATATATATGCGAGAATATTAATTTCTCAAATAATTTAACTACTTTCATCATGTTGTTTCTTGATTTTTGTAATGCAAAGGTGAACATTTTTAATGTTTTCAGTTTAAACTATATATCCATATGGGTCAACCTCCCCCGACCCAGGTCTCATAATAAATTTCACCTGGATGCGACCTACCACAGAGCGGATATGAATATCAAAATACCTGTCACAGGAAAGATATGGTTACCGAGATACCCGTCCCGACCTACCCATTTCCATTCCTAATAACAAGGATCATGCATGGTTTATACCGGTTCAACGAGGTTACCTTTGACCATTTTAGATTGGGTATGCATAGTCATTTGAGGTTGGAGCACTCAATATCAATTTCAATGTTGTCTCGTGAATTTCATGCTTGATCACTATAAGTTTATTAATTTTTTTACGCAGGTCACTCGAAAATTTTCATTACTTATTATTTACTTATTTTAACTCCTTATTTCATCATTGGTCCTCCAAGTTCATTAAAGTCGTCCTAGGTAAACTCGCTCAAATAAAAAATATAGATGAAAATAGCAATGACAACTACAATTCGTCACTAAGGACTTTTAGTAATGACATTTTACTGTCTTCGGTAATGTTTTGTGAACTACTAGTGCATTTGTGACCATACTTATATACGTCAGTAAAGACAAAAAAAAAATCCTCGTCACTAAACCCAACTTTTAATTAGTCATTTGTCCTCCAAACCACTGGCCAGCAAAAATTACCCCTGACGGCGGCGTTTGCTCAGAAGGACGCGGCATAGCAATAATTATTATGGTTGCCAAAACCGCCGCGGCCTGGAAACTTACAAGCTCCCTCATATTTGGTTGCGATGTGGTACATGCAGTAGTATTTATAGAAGAGTCTTTGGACCTCTACCGTAACTCATGTCTCTGTTAACTGAACCCGATAATAAACTAGTATACAAACTTAATTAATCGCTTCATACGAGCATATATATTATTGTTAATTATATTTTTTTGAGTGGAGCAAGACGATTGAATTGCACAATTGAACCCCTTAACTTTGCATTAAGTGTTTCTTATGCTGACCAGGAATAAGTGTAGGCCAATCATATATAATTGATTGGTTAATACAAAAAAACATAATTAAGCTCGTTGGCATGGCATGAAATGGATTATCTTAACAAATTAAGCTAGTTCTATTATGTTTTGTTATTATTATTGTTAATTTTGGTCAGCTAATTCCCACGTGACTTGGTGAGGGAATTAGGTTTTAGTTTTCCACAAACTATATAAGGCCAAAGCTAGGGCTCGGCCACTGCAACTTTCTTTCTTCTCTTGTAGATCGACAAAAACATCATAATAAAAACTCAGCCGAGAGCAGCCGCTCTCCGTGGACTAGTCTCACTCATCATCGAGTGGGGAAACCACGTAAATCCTTGCCTTGTCTTTTTCAATTCCGCAACATCGAATTCTTCATGGTATCAGAGCTGATCTCCATCCAGGGATAGCTTTTTCGTTCGTGTTCGTTTTATTTTCTTTCGCGAAGACTAGGGCGTTCTCAATCAAGCCCTCGGCATGTCTGGTGGCAACGAAACTCAAGACATGGTCACTGGTGGGTCGAGCAATGCCTTGCTCATGGATGCCTCGTCTCCGCTTCATCTCCATCCAGCTGATCACCCAAACCTGATGTTCGTGAGCGAAGTCCTCACCGACGCGAACTACGCGGAATGGGTGGCTGAGATGTCCAATTCCTTGATCGCAAAGAACAAGCTAGGGTTCGTGACGGGCGGGACTCCTCGTCCAACAGCAGGTCCGCAGCTTGAGGCCTGGGTGCGCTGCAATGCAACTGTTGTTGGCTGGTTACGTACGGGCATGAGTCGCGAGATCAGAAGCGGCATCAGCTCCGGGCTCACAGCGCAACAGATATGGGACGAACTGAAAGAACGTTTTAGCACCGGCAATCTGCCGAGACGTTACAAGCTGCGTCGCGAAATCACTAGCTTGCGGCAAGAAAGGTCTAGTGTCGCTACTTTTTATTCCAAATTGAAGAAGCTGTGGGATGATTGGCTCACGCTCGATCCTCCTGCTAAATGCACCTGCGGGAAGTGTGAATGTGACGTCGAGAAGCGCACCCGAGCCTCCCATGAGGACATGCGCCTCCTGGATTTCTTGCTGGGACTTGATGACAACTTCTCGGTGGTGCGCACCCAGCTTCTCTCATTCAAGCCAACGCCTACTCTGGGAGAGGCTTATCACATGGTAGCCAACGACGAGCAGCAGCGCCACCTCTCCTCTGAAAATCGTCCATCCCTTGAAGCTGCTGCTTTCCAAAGCAAAGGCGATCGCAGCGATCGCAACCCAGCTGAGCCTCGCACACCTGAAGGCCGCCCCTGGTGCACACACTGTGAGAAGCCCGGCCATTTCAAAGCTACTTGCTACGAAATCATCGGCTGGCCACAGCGCTCCAACAATGGTGGTACCTCTAGTGGACGAGCTGGTACGTCGGGAGAGAAGCCTCGGCGTCGCAACAAGCCTCGGTCTGATCCGAAGGCAGCCGCTGTGGAAAGTGAAGACGGCGGCAGTTCCATTCCTGGGTTGACCTCAGCTCAATTCGCCCAACTCCGTGCTTTCATCAATTCCGAGAGAAGCTCACTGCCTACGGCTGGTATGGCAGCAAATATGTCTGGTAATGTTCTCGCCTCTGATTCTTGGATTATCGACTCTGGCTGCAATGAACACATTGTTAAAAATAATTCTTTATTCGTTGGTGGTCTCGAGAAACACACCGATTTGCAGGTCAGAATTCCTAATGGAAACGGGGTTCCCGTCAATAGTATTGGACAGGCACAGTTACAGAATGGTCTTGTTCTGAAACGAGTTCTGCATATTCCGGAATTTCAATGCAATTTATTATCAGTCAGTCGGCTTACTGCAGATCATCCAGTGGCAGTGGTTTTCTTAAGCAATTTCTGTGTTATCCAGGACTTAGCCTCGAGGAAGATGATTGGCATGGGGACTCAGAGTGATGGCCTCTATTACTTGAGGGTCTTCGATCAGGGCCATCCAGTTGCTCTCTCCGCGCGGCAGGCAGTGGGGAATTCGCATCTCTGGCACTCCAGGCTCGGACACCCTTCCTCAAAGAAGATGCTGGCATTGCAACCTTTTATTTCCAGTCCTTTGATTGTCAATAAAGACCCGTGTGATTCCTGTTTACGGGCCAAACATACTCGGCTTCCTTTTTCTCCCAGCAGTATTAAGACTCAATCTTGTTTCGAATTGATCCACATTGACATTTGGGGAGGTCTTTCTGAACCTTCATTTACTGGAGCTCGGTTCTTTCTTACAATTGTGGATGATTTCAGTCGTTCAGTATGGGTTTTTCTATTGAAATACAAATCCGAGGTTGCTCGCCACTTGCTTATGTTCTTTCGTCAGGTTCGTACTCAGTATGGGAAGAATATTCAGCGCATTCAGGCTGATAATGGACGGGAATTCACCACTCCACCCTTACGTGAGTACTACGAACAAGAGGGTATTGTTCTCCAAACCTCTTGTACGGACACTCCGCAGCAAAATGGCGTCGTTGAAAGGAAGCATCGCCATCTCCTGGACACTGCTCGGGCTCTGCGCTTCCACGCTGGCCTTCCTCTTCGTTTTTGGGGCGAGTGTGTTCTCACCGCGGCATATCTCATCAACAGGCTGCCGCTTGAACCTCTTCAACATCGCACGCCCTACCAAGTCCTTCTTGGTGCTGTTCCTCGATACGATCATCTCCGCAGTTTGGGCTGTCTTGTTTATGCTCGAGATAACCACAAGGGGCTTCATAAATTTGCTCCTCGTGGTCGCCCAGGGGTCTTTCTTGGCTACCCCTCCTCTCAACGAGGCTACCGAGTGTATGACCTTGAGAAGAGGCAGATTTACACCTCTCGGGACGTTACTTTCGTCGAGC